AGTATGCCTAGCTGTGGCGCCCCTTCCAGGGCGCCCAGGTTGTGGCGTTACGTCGGGCCTGTCCCTCTACAGGAGGAAGATTCAAACATCGTTCAGAATAGTCTGGGGACGATTTGTCTGTCATGTCTTGAACATTGTGGGGCATCCTTTGAGTATGTTTGAAATCATTCGTTTAGAATCCGCCTGTAGGGGGACGTGCCCGGCCTCATTCTGGCGGGAGTCCTAGGAGCAGCGAGCTCCGCAAAGCAGGCGGCCCAGCCCCGCGGCTTTTCGCTGCTGCCGCCCCGCCACCGTCGGCCTGCGGCGGCACGGGGAGCTGTGCGTAATTAAGCTACCCCGCCTGGATGGCGGCAGCCCTGTGCGCCCAACTTGGGCCGCCCCTGACGCGGACGTCATCATCCGCGTCCTTCTCCGTCTCCTCCTCCTTCTTTTCCTCTTCCTCCTCATCATTATCCTTCTCCTCCTCTTCCATCTCCTCCATTTCATCATCATCATCATCATCATCATCATCATCATCATCATCATCATCATCATCATCATCCTCATCCTCATCCTCATCCTCATCCTCACCCTCATCATCCTCACCCTCATCATCATCACCACCATCATGATGATCATCAGCATCATCATAATCACCATAAGCACCATCACAATCATCAACAGCATCATCAGCATCAGCGCCAGCACCAGCATCAGCATCATCATCACCATTACAATCGTCATCATCACCATCATCACCAGCCGCATCATCATCATCATCATCATCATCACCATCATCATCACCATAAGCATCATTATCATGATCCGTATCATCGTCAGCATCATCTTCATCATCAACACCATCAACATCATCATCGTCTTCATCATCATCAGTTTCTTCAGCACCGGCATCATCGTCGTCATCATCATCATCATCATCATCATCATCAACACCATCAACACCATCAACATCACCATCAATTTGACCACACCAATCCCGTTCCTTCTGCACCCCCTCCACTCCCCTGCCCTCGCCCCCTCAGAGTTCAAACCCGTTTCCTTGGCGGTAACTCTTGGTTGCCGTTCCATCGAACGAGACGGTAGGGCGGGCTGGGTGTTTCGCTTGAGACTTCCTTTTGCACCGCGCACGTTTGTTTCTACCATTCGGCAACAGTTGCAAGAATGAAGGGCGGTTCCTTGTGTGCGGATCCGACCACGACGCCGAGCGCACAAGTGCGCCGATCCGACCGAGACCAAAGTGAAGCAGCGAGTTCGACGCAATCAATTCTTGGCTGAAGCTCGCAGCATGGGCATCTACGGTCGTTGTGTAGCAAAACTCTTTATCGACGTAGTCTTGCGAGCTTGAGCGAAACTGGGCGAAGGGGAAGCGCCGGGGGGAAGTCGAGGGTCCTCGGGGAGATGCAACCCATGTTGCCCATCTCGATCTGCTACATCATCATTCATCTGTTCAATGAGCGCTGCGAGGTGAACGTCGTAGAGGGAATCGAGTACAGGAGTACCGTCGTCACGTCCTTAATTAGGAAGATCCCGTCGCCCATTTCTTTGGTTCGTTTTCGACGCTCTTTGGTTATGAGGAGAAGCTTTCTGTTGATTTGATTGCCGGTGGCTTCCGTTTGTTCCGCGCTCGGTCGCGCGAGTGGCGATTGCAACGTCTACTGTATGTTCTCGAGGGAGACGTCAAAGGAGCGTTCGACATGAACATATTCGACCTTATGCTAGAGGCCTTGCGCCATCGTGGTCTACATCCTCACATTCTCTTTTTTCGGCAGCGCTACTGCGAGATGAACTGTGCAACGTGGTAGTGCCAGCGTTCCAGGGCACCAGGTTGGAGCAACCCACCCCGTTCAAGAAGAGCGGCAAGCAGGGGGGAGTGGAGACGCCGGTTCTCTGGAGTCTTATTGTTTGCCTGCTGCTCTCCAGATCGATGGATGTTGGGGAACTGGACGGGGTTGGTATGCGGGTTTCTGATAAGCTGTCCACTCATCTTGTCTGGGCTGGCGATCTCTTTATGTACGCTGGCATTTCTGACATGGTCAGTCGTCGTTTTGGGGATCTCGTCTGATGCTGAGCTACGGCATTACCTAGAAGATTGAGTCTCTCGAGTTCTTGACAAGCGACCTTCGTTCCCCGTGTGCAGTTCCGTCGCGTTCGAGGTGGCTCCGATGGTCATACCAGGGGCTCCGTCGGCGCCACGCGTGCCGCCGGAACAGAACCCACCCAACTCGGAGCATCTGACGCACAGGCTGCCCAGAAGAAGTGCGCAGCCGTTGCTGTGCTAATTTCGTGCGCTGCGAGGGTTTTGAAGCTCCTGGCGGCTTGCAAACTCCTGACGGCGACACTTCCGGTGCAGTGGGACATGGCCTGCAGAGAGACTCACAGGTTGTTCAGAAGGGTTGAGATCGATCTCCATAGTTTGATTGGCGTTGTCGTTTCCGTTTAACAGATGCCAAGCGCGTGGTGCAGGTAGTCTGCCATGGTTGTGGATCTTGGGCGTGGAGCGAAGTTTTTTCTTGAGATTGGAAAGGTGGAAGAGGTATCGTTTGAGACGGATTGCTCGTGGTAAGCGACGGCCTCAAGATGACGCTGTAATCTATACTTCCGATGTGCTGTGCGTTTTGGCAAACGTCGGTATGCTATGAAGGCTTCTACCCTCCTAGTGTTCGCGCGCTGCGTGCCTATATCAGTCTGCTTTCCCGCGCTGCGCTCAAGCGTATCAATGCGACTCGCCCGCCGACGAGGGCTCGCGAGTTTCTTCGAATGTGGTGTCTTGGCGCAGCACGGCAGAGTGGAGATCTACGCAATTAGCTCTTATTGTTGAGGAGGTTTCGGATGCACCGAGCAAGCGGAAGTGGAACCACGAGTCCCATTCCATTCGAGCGTACGGGTGGAATGATTTGTTTCTTGCTTTTCTTGCGGGCCTGTGGATTCCGTCCATCGGTGACCTATCTTTCTTTTCGGTTCTGAAGAGTTGGTGGTTTTTCAAGTATGCGTTCGAAGGCGTGGACTTACCTGTGCTTCCTGCGTAACGTCGAAGCTGGAATCCGTGGGCCCTGGTCTGGGGGCGAAGTCGTCCACGGAAAAGGCCGAGCGCAGAAAGGTTGATCTCTCGAAGGTGTCCTGGGGTGCCGCTCCTGAGCCGGTTCGTCCCGCGTTTCCTCGGGCGTTGCGCACTCAGCGCAGCAGGTTAGCACTCCTTGGTAACCCAAGGTGGTCGTCCATTTGATGAACAGCAACTGGAACATGTTTGACGGTTGCTACGTTTGCTGGAAAGCGTTTTTCGCTTTCTGCGCCACCTCTGTCGCCTCCTTTTCCTCCTCCTCCTCCTCCTCCTCCTCCTCCTCCTCCTCCTCCTCCTCCTCCTCCCCCTCCTCCTCCTCCTCCTCCCCCTCCTCCTCCTCCTCCTCCTCCTCCTCCTCCTCCTCGCGTGTTGCTGCTGTCTTTTGTGTTTGTTTTTCTGCCGCCACGACCCGGCACAGCACCGCGGCCGCCCTGCGCCTCCGCGCCTCGTGGGGTGCCCCGGGCACCCCGGTGCAGGCACGTCGGCAGGAAGTGGATCGAGGAGCTGCCGCTCGGGCCTCCGAAGCCTCGGGGGAGAACAAGATACGGATCCGTGTTGTCCCCCTTCGTTTTCGGCCTTTCCTGGTCCTCCTGGGGAATCCTCGTTGTCACCGCTGGATTCGCCTCGAAATTCTGGTCAGAACGCACCCCAAGAGAGGTCCGGGGACAGCACGTATCCGTATCTTTCCGCCCCCCAACTTCGTGGGTCGTCAGTCTCACGGGGTTTAGTCCTCTCCTTTGATCGGCGGCGAGCGAAGGGGGGGAGTTGAGAAGGAGAAGGCCTTCTCAGAAGGCGGCGGGACTTCTCAGAGGCCCTCGCGCCTTCTGAGAAGTTTTGTCTGTCTTCGGGAAAGGCTCAGAAGACTTCTCAGGTGTCCGGGGGACTTCCGAGCCTTCTGAGAAGGTACGCCCCTTCTCACTTCCCCCCTCGGCTCGCCGCCTATTTTACCCCCTCCAGGAGGTAGCATATATGATTGCCCTATTCGACGGAGGCGCAACATGATCCGGCCTCGAGTGGTTAGCACGGTGACGTTGCGAGGCTTCGTGGCCCGCAGGGCACTCCGACCCTTTCCACAGAGTAGCGGGAGGCGCGGTCTTACCAGGAGAGGGCGCGGTCACCCTCGGAGAGCCAAGAGGCCTCGTTCAGACGCTGGAGGTTGCTTAGGGTGTGCTCGTACAGCGTGGCATGTTCGTTGGTGCGCTGGCACGTGTGCGATACTGCTTGCTCTGGCATCGTTCGATGCTGCGTGCGTTGTTTGTTCGATCTCCATGCAAGCCCTTCCAGACCGGCATTGTTGGCATCGCATGCTTGCGCAGGTCGCCGGGAATCACAATATCACCATCGTCATCCTCCTCATCATCATCACCATCATCGTCGTCATCATCAGCATCAGCATCACCATCAGCATCACAATCAGCGTCATCATCATCAGCAGCCTCATCACCACTATCCTCATCATCAGCAGCATCATCATCATCATCATCATGATCAGGGTCCTCATCATCAGCACCATCAATGTCACCAACCTCATCATCATTTTATTATATCGCCCGCCCTCCTCCATTCACCGTTCCTCCTCCTCCCCCCATATTCCACCACCTCTGCTTTTCTTCCTTCTCCTTCTCCTCCTCCTCGCCTCCCTCCTGCTTCTCCTCCTCCTCCTCCTCCTCCCCCTCCCCCTCCTCCTCCCCCTCCTCCCCCTCCTCCTCCCCTCCTCTCCCCCTCCCCTCTCCTCCCCTCCTCCCCACTCTCCTCCTCCCCCCTCCTCCTCCTCCTCCTCCTCCGCCTCCTCCCCCCCCCCATCCTCGTTCCACCCTCCTCGCCTCCCCCCCCCCCCCTCCAGACCTCTCGCTTGTCCCCCGCTCCCCTCCCCCCCCCCCCCGCCCCTGCAGCGGCCCCCCGTGGGCGTTGGGGCCGCGCCGGAGGCTGCTCGCGCGGGCGGCCCCGGCACGCCAGGCGGCCCCGCTGCAGGCGCCGCCGCCGCCGCCGCCGCCGTCGTCGTCTGCTTCGGGGGGGGAGGGTGCACGTGCGGACATGCGGGAGGAGGAGGAGGAGGAGGACAAGGAGGAGGAGGAGGAGGAGGAGGAGGAGGAGGAGATGGAGGAGGAGGAGGAGGGGGAGGAGCAGGAGGAGCGGGAGGAGGAGGAGGAGGAGGGGGGAAGCGGGAGGAGAGAGGGGGAGGGGGGAGGAGGAAGGAGGTGGAAGGAGGAGTAGGAGGCACAAGGAAGAGGACGGAGGGAGGGAGGGAGGGAGGGAGGGAGGAGGAGGAGGAGACGCGGGAGGAGCGGACCCAGACCTCCAGATCTGGATCGTATCGAGTCTAAGGCGTTTCCTTCTCCGGGAGCCTGTGACGGGCGATGGGCCCCCGCGGAGGGGCCGCGGCTGGAAGCTGGCCTGCGCTGGAGCACCCCCTGACAGCACTGGCACGCACTGCTGCTGAGGACGGGGTGCAGCTGGTTGCTGTCCGACGAGCTTGCGGAGGTATTTGGTCGCGCGTCATTGGGGCCCTCTCGTGATGCCGCTTCTCGAGTGCGCTGGCGCGCGCCAGAGTCTGGCAGTCGACGAGAGAGCGCTGCTGTCTGCAGCGTCGACTGGCGTCGACGAGGGTAGGTTCAGCGCCGACTAGCGTCCGTTGGCGTCGGTTCGCAGGTGCCAGCAATGAGGCATGGGAGGCCCCTCCATAACTTGTCACCAGAGGGTGTGACATCTAGCTTGCAGAGGTAGCTGCTATTGCCGAACCTGAAGCTGGGGAGCTCGCACAATCTGGCCAAAGGTCATGTTCCGCCCAGTGTTCTGCCTGCTGGCCGCGCCCACCCGCAGATCTCGCAGTTCCTGCAACTTGCTGTCCTGGCACTGAGGAGGCGGAGGAACCGCGGGCGGCGGCAGCGGCGGCACACCGTGGCCAGCCGGTTGCGACGGATGTGCATTTGCCATTTCTTGTCGTGTCTACTTGAGGCGTCCCTGAAAGGGCCTTGCTTTCGAGGATCGAAGGAGTTGTCATCTCTTCCGCGGCGGAAGCTCGGCGTGGCGAAGCGAGGCCGCCTCCGCCGGCGGCAGCCGGCGGAAGGGCGGGGGAAGGTGGCGGAAGTCAAACATTGCGGCCCCCAACATATGAGAACATGTCTGGGTGCAGGGTCCCCCCCCCCGTCTCCTCCTCTTGCATGGTGGCACACTTCGCTTCCACGGCACCCCCGTTCAGGCATCCCATCGCCAGCGCAGACTTCCCCTGCCCAGCCGCCGACGCTAAAAAGTTTGGGTGCAGGATTTCTGGAATCGGCCACTTATCCGCCGTCATTTCACGGGTTTGTGGGATCACGCTCTGCGGCGTTACAGCGAGGCACAAGTGACCTGTCAGCTCTCGAGTGTAGTTTACGTGCTCATCACGTGCAGGTGAATATTTCACGAAGTGGTCCTCTATGCTGCCTAAAAAAATGTCTCGGGTTTTCTTGCAACGGGCGCGGTGCTGCGCGGCCGCGTGGGCGACGTCGGCCCATGGTGCCTCGCGTGCCCGCAGCTGGCTCGGGGTGCTCCCGGGCCGCTCGTGGCCCCCCTGGCCAGTCTGGATTGGAGCTCCGTCGGCTGCGGACGGCCGCTGGACGCCCATGCCTGGAAACACCACTCCTGCCTCCGGGGTGCCCTGGGTTTCTTGGGTTCCGAGGGTTCTACGATGGAGAGCGCAGCGTTCCCACCCCAAAGAGCAATGGACGTCCTGGGGCCTCGGGGCTGGGTCTCTTGTGGCCGAGCTCCTGGTGCAAGCCTAGCTCGAATCCGACTCTCGGAGTGCTCCTGGGCCGCTCGCTGCCCCGCTCCAGTTTGCACCGAAACTCTGCCGGCTGCTGCTGTAGAGGCACGGTGGGCTGCGCCATGCGCCCGTGCACCGCAGCCTTCCCGTCGTGAATCCGATATTCCACGGCGACCCCTGCATCGGGACACCCTGGCCACGCGGTCGCCGCCGCAAAAACTGCCCGTTCAACGCTGGCGCCGCGCCAAGGCGGGCGGCGAACAGCGCCGCGCAGGCGGCTTCCTGGGCGCGCATCGCTGTCACTGCCAGGGCAGCGAGGCCGTGGATCTGCCGCCGCGGGCCCGGGCGAAGCCGGCGGTGGCCCGGACCCAGTGCGGGGGACGGCTGGAGGCATTATTCGTCCACGGCCTCTTTCCTGTTCAAAGGGCAGGGCCCGAGGCCTTCTACAGGCGAGCGCGTGTGTCCGGAACTCTCTGGTCTGTGGCGCACCTTGTCCTGTGCAAGATCTTCGGCACCGCCTGCTCTCGGAGCCCTCCGGCCGCCTGAGGCCCCGCCCGCCTGCGCCCTGTCTCCCCAATTAGGGCTACCCGCGTCCCGTTTAGCTCTTGACCGGAAGGGGCCCGCTCCCGACCCGCAGACCGAAAAAGCATCCGGAGCTCGTGTGCGACCTGGGGCCCTTGCAAGCCGACCGGGATGGTGATCCCCGTGTTCCGAAGTCTGTCTGCCCTTGGGTGCACCCTTCGCCATGGCAGTGCCGAGACATGCGGATCCCATCGCGGCATGCTTGTCCATGGAGACCCTGCACGTGATTCTCAACGTATCGGCCGCTCTTCGTACAGTCCCTTGCGGAAGCCCCCCCCCTGGTGTCAAGCACGTCGGCTGATCTTCACTGTTCAGGCGAACGGCGCGAGCTGGTGGTATTCCAAGCAGGCTCGAGGTATGTCTCCTCACGACTGTTCGATGTGCGGAGCGCTTCTTGCAGGCTCTCTTGTGCCAGCTGGGCCCAGCTGTTGGAACATCCGTGGCTGACTAGTGGAACGCCAGCACGCGCAAAGGGCAATGGCAACGAACTCGGTTGGGGTATGGTGTGCCGAACGCGCGAAAGGTCCCCGATCTCTGGCTGGCAGCCACCCCAGGCGCTGGTTCAAGCCCAGACATGTGTCTTCATCATCGCCACTGGCATCATCACCATCAACATCGTCATCATAAACGCCGTCGTCGTCGTCGTCGTAAGAATCACCACCAACACCTCTACCAGCGGTATAATCAGCATCGTCAGCATCATCATCATCATCATCATCATCATCATCATCATCATCATCATCATCATCATCATCATCCTCATCCTCATCATCATCATCATCATCATCATCAGCAGCATCATCATCATCATCATCATCATCCTCATCATCCTCATCATCATCATCATCATCATCCTTACAATCATCATCATCATAATCATCACCATCATCAGCATCATCATCACCATTATCAACACCATCATCAGCATCTCCATCAGCATCAGCATCATCACCGTTGTCATCAACATCACCATCACCACCATCACCCGCATTAGCATCGTCACCATCATTATCAGCATTGCCATCATCATCACCATTACCGCCATCATCATCATCATCATCATCATCAGCATCATCATCATCATTATCATCCTCATCAGCATCACCATCTTCAGCATCACCATCTTACTCATCGGCATGAACATCACCATCATCAGCATCATCATCATCATCGTCATCACCATTATCATCATCAGCGGCAGTACCACCACTATCTCGTTCATCTTCACCAGCATCATCATCATCACCACCATCATCATCAGCAGCATCACCATCAGCAGCAACACCAACATCATCATCATCATCATCATCATCAGCATCATCATCATCATCATCAGCATCATCATCATCATCAGCAGCAGCAGCATCGTCGAGTTTGCCTCCTCCCCTCCTCGCTCCGTTCCTTCCCTCCTCCTTCTGTGCCTCCTCCTCCCTCTCTCTCGTCCTCCTCCTCCTCCTCGCTCCTCCTCCTCCCTCCTCCCTCTTCTCCTCTCCTCCTCCATCCTCCTCCTCCTCCTCCTCTCCTCCCACTCCGCTTCCTTTTCTGATTCCTCCTCTCCCCCCCTCTCCCTCCTCCCCCTCCCCCCCCTCCTCCTCCTCCGCCTCCTCCTCCTCTCCTCCTCCCTTCCTCGCATCCTCCTCCTCCTCCTCGTCATTCTCATCTCCCCCCTGTCTCTCCTCCTCCTCATACCTCGTTCTTTTCCCTCTCCTCCCTCCTCCTCCTCCTCCTCCTCCTCCTCCTCCTCCTCCTCTTCCTCCTCCTCCTCCTCCTCCTTCACCTCCTCCTTCTCCTCCTCCTCCTCCTTCTCCTCCCCCTCCTGCACCGTGCCTTTCGCAAGGGAGTGTGCGACACCTCCTCCTTCTCCTCCTCCTCCTCCTTCTCCTCCCCCTCCTGCACCGTGCCTTTCGCAAGGGAGTGTGCGACACTCACAGTGCCCATGCGATTCACCCAGTGGTCACTCCCAAGCTCGAGTGCCATATTTGATGCACATATTCGTACTCCGATGTGTCTCGGCTGCAAGATCATATCTGTGAACGGCACCTCCCATTTCTACCTGAGCGGGGAGGCAGTGATGGCGACGCCCAGGTGGCAAATGCCCAAGCGCCCACCAGGAGGCGCAGAGGCCGAGGGCGCCCCACTAGCGGCCAAGGCCATTGGGTCCCCGCCCGCGAAGACAGCGGCCGCAGGGGCAGACACCGCTTCCAGTCGATGGGCAGCGTCGTCAGGAGGCGCAGCCAGCAGCGGCAGCGGGGACCTCAACAGCAAGCAGCAGCACAGCAGGCATCTGGGTACGGTGAAGGGCATGGGTTTCGCCAAGAAGCAGGCCCAGTTCTTCAACGTGCCGATCACCCAAACGCTGATGACCACGCAGATGGTGCGCGACCTGTGGGCCGCGGGCGTGGACACCTTCTTTCTGAACGCAGACCTGCCCGATATCGAGGCGGCGCAGGAAGCAGGGGCGACATATCCATCAGAAGCCCGAGCCTGCGACAAAGTCCACCAGCTTGGTCCTCCTCACCTTCATATCTCCAATGGGTTCGTCAGCAAGTTGCTCGAGCGTGGGCTCGCGCTGGGGCAGTGGACGTACGCGATGCTCAAAGAGTGGCACGTGAAAGTATGGTGCGAACAGCAGCCGCAGAAGCTGCACGATATGCTACGGCTGTTTCGGCTCACGAAGTGTTTCGGCCAAGATGCACCTGATGCTGATAGACGTGCTCATGCCGAGCGTACCGCCCGAGTCCAACGAGCAGCTGCTACCTTCGCCCTTGATCGTGAGAGGACTCCTGCAATCGAGGAAATCGGAGGCCGAACTGCACTGGGCGCGGCGCCGCCAGGCGCCATGGAGGAGATACTATAGAACGCGGTAGACGCAGAGGACGGCGAACGAGATGACGTTCACCTCGAAGGTCAGACTCGGGGGACCTCCCGCCCCGTGGAGCTGTGGCTCCATTAATTGGTCACGCTTCGCGAATCCCCACCAGCCCATCCTCAAACAGCCACTTTAGCAAAGAGTACCGACTGTCGGGATTTGTTGGTCATCTTTTCAGCAATGATGCCCAGCGGAGTTGCTTTGATTCGATCAGGGAAGTGTGGGAGCATACAGAGAAACGAAGGACAGGACAGAGAGGGGAGGATGGAGGAGGAATCGGAGGAGGAGGTGGGGGAGGGGAGGAGGGAGGAGGAAGAGGGGGAGGCGGACGAGGAGGGGAGGACGAGCAGAAGGGCCAGAGGCCTCTTGGATGCATCGCGGAGTCTCTTGGGATGTCTTTTGGGAGCCTCTTGGAGGCCTTTTGGGGCGTCTTGGGGGCCTCTTGGCGGCCCCAGGGGCTTCTAGGAGCGTCTTGGGTGCCTTGGGGGAGCCTCTTCGGGCCTCTTGGGAGCCTCTTGGAGGCCGTTTGGGGCGTCTTGGGGGCCTCTTGGCGGCCCCAGGGGCTTCCAGGAGCGTCTTGGGTGCCTCGGGGGAGCCTCTTGGGGCCTCTTGGGGGCCTCTTGGGGGCATCTTGGGGGCCTCTTGGAGGCCTCTTGGGGCCTCTTGGGGCTCTTTGGGAGGGGTCTGGGAGGCATCTTGGGGCCATCTTTCGGGCGATCGATCACAGATGGGGCGAGCACGTTTCTCCCTCCCCCCGTCGGGGCCACGATCCTCGTGAGGGGTGTCGAATTTTAGCCCTCCCAGGAGTCGGAAAAGACCCCTCCAACGACCCGCGGAAGGACCTCTCCAGGCCCAGGGGGAGGGGGGAGGGGGAGGGGTAAACCCCTCCCCGAAGGGGAAGAAGGAGGTTGAGAACAGAGCGGGCTCTCTAAACCACTCACGCCCAAAGGGCTGGTGGGATTTGGGAGGTACGTCGCCGTTTTGCTGCCCACGCCGCGGGGATAGGCTTGCGAGTTGATTTCAGAGGCAGGGGACGCTCTATTTTTTCCGCATCCTCCTGCCGCTGAGGACCGACATGTCGTTCGACGGGTACGCGCTGTGAGCATTCCAGTGTCGGCTGCTCGCCGCCTCTCACCCGTTTCACGCTGCCGCGAGGTCCGCCCCCCTTGTTGGCCATATATTCAACACCCCGCGCGGTTGCCCCTCGCGGTGTCTTGGTCTTCTCTGGGCTACGGTGCCCTCGAAGTCCTTGACTCTTTGGTCTGTTCGGTGCGCGTGACCCTGGGGCTCAACCTTCAGGCCCGTCAGGGCCCGCTAGGCCCCTTCTGAACCACATGACCATCAAAAGTCGTCCGAAGGGTGCACTCTCCCGAATTCAACACGCCGGTGCGTTTCATTTGAAACCCCACGAGTTTAACGCGCGACTTCCATATGCGAGCATGCCGCCTGCTGTCCATTCCGTTCGTCTTTGCAAGAACAAGGAGAGATGCGGGCCCACAGTCGTGTCTTACCTCCTCCTCCTCCTCCGCTTCCTCGTCCTCCTCCTGCTCCTCCTCTTCGTCCTCCTCCTCGTCTTCCTTCTCGTCCTCCTCCTCATTCCTCCTCCTGTTACTTCTCCTCCTGCTCCTTCTCCTCCTCCGCCTGCTCTTCCTCGTCCTCCTCCTCCTCCTCCTCCTCCTCCTCCTCCTCCTCCTCCTCCTCCTCCTCCTCCTCCTCCAGTTCCGACGACGACGCCGCCGCCGACGACGACGACGACAGGTGCCGCCGCCGCCTGGGGAGGCGGCGCGGCGAGCAGCTCGAGGGCGACGGCGCCGGGCGCTCCCCGCGCCGCCGCCACGGGCGCTAGGTTACGGAAGGTAGAGGCGCGCGCCCCGCGCGCTCGCGGAGGAGGGTGGGGCAGGAGATGGGAGGGGCAAAAGGACGGGGGGGCAGGAGGAGCGGGGCGAGGAGAGGGGGGAGGCAAGGATTGGGGGGGGGCAGGGGAGGGGAGGGAACGGAGGATGGAGGAGGGGGGGGGGGAGCCAGACCTCTAGAGACACGAGAATCGCGAGTCTGGGTTTGTTCCTGCTCTTTTTGTGTTTGCCTTGGCCGGTTTTGACACTCTGATGTTGTTCCAAGAACGGTTCAGAATGTAAGGCCGGGGCACTTGTGGAACAAATCGAGAGGCCTAGGGCCACCCACGCGCAGAGGGGGGTGGGGGGAGGGGGGAGGGCTTCTTAGAAACACCACTGTTTCTTAGAAGGCGCGGGCCTTATCTAACTATAGATGTAAGGCCAGCGCCTTCCAAGAGGCACCTCCTTCTAAGAAACCCTCCTCCCACCCTCCACCCCCCTGTGCGCACCGCCAATAAGCCCCTGAGACTTGAAAAATGTCGAGTCTTCACAGGTTTGGGAAAAAGGGGAAGGGGAGCAGGAGGGGAGGAGAGGAGGGGGAGGAGGAGGAGGACGAGAACGAGGACGAGGATGAAGACGAAGACCCGGGCGAGGACAAGGACGAGGACGAGGACAAGGAGGAGGAGGAGGAGGAGGAGGAGGAAGAGGGGGACGAGGAGGACGAGGAGGACGAGGAGGACGAGGAGGACGAGGAGGACGAGGAGGACGAGGAGGACGAGGAGGAGGAAGAGGAGGAGGAGGAGGAGGAGGAGGAGCAGGAGGAGGAGGAGCAGGAGGAGGAGGAGGAGGACGACGACGACGAGGAGGACGACGAGAAGGACGAACGAGGAGGACGACGAGGAGGAGGGAGGAGGACGACGAGGAGGGGGGAGGAGGAGGGAGGAGGAGGAGGAGGAGGAGAGGAGGAGGAGGAGGAGGAGGAGGAGGAGCAGGAGGAGAGAAGGAGGAGGAGCTGAGACGAGAGAGAGAGAGAGAGAAAAAAAAAAAAAAGAGGAGAGGGAGAGACAGAGAGAGAGAGAGAGGAGAGCGAGAGCGAGAGGAGAGTGAGAGAGAGGGAGGGAGGGAGGGAGGAAGGAGGGGTGGCGGGTGGGAGGGCGGGGGAGGGAGGGGGGGAGGGAGGGGAGGGAGGGAATGAGGGAATGAGGGAGGGAGGGAGGGAGGAAGGAAGGAGGGAGGGAGGAGGAGGAGGAGGACGAGGAGGAGAGGAGGAGGTGGAGGAGGAGGAGGAGGAGGACGAGGAGGAGGAGGAGGCAGAAAGACAGAGGAGGCGGCCGGGGAGGACAGGAGCAGGAGGCGGGGAAGGAGGAGGACGATGTGTGGGTGTGGTGTGGCTTGGCCCTGAAGGCGTCCCAGCTCAGCTGAACAAAAAATTATCCTCGGAACTCCGAACAGAGGAGGAGCAGGGTAAGGAGGAGGAGGAGAAGGAGGAAGGGGAGGAGGAGGAGAAGGAGGAGGGGGAGGAGGAGGAGGAGGAGGAGGAGGAGGAGGAGGAGGAGGGGAGGAGGAGGAAGACCATTACGAGCACGAGGAGGGCGAGGATCAGTAAGGGGGCATGTGCAGCGTCGACTCCCTCGGCGGCGGCGGCGACGGCGCGGGCGTCGAGGCGGGGGGGAGGGGGAGGCCGTGGCCGCGAGGAGGGGGGGAGGGGAGGGACGGGGAGGAAACTCCGGCGAGGAGGAGGCGGAAGGGGGGGGGGGCGAGAGTCGGGACGATCGAAACGGGTACGGAAAGAAGGGGTACGACGACCGACAGCAACTTCTGCCAATTATATATATATATATATATACACACATACGTATATAACAAAAGAAGTAATAACAAAACAATGCACAGCGGATGGTTCGCTGTTGGTGCCGCCGCGGGCCCTGTGCATGTGAGGCCGCAGGCCGCCTGCCCCACAGCCGCCAGCGGCCGCGGGCGGTGCCAGGCAGCACTGGCTGTTGGGCACCGTGCCCCTTTGCTGTGGTGTCCGCGCCCTTGCAATGTTTAAAGCGGCTGTGCGCGGCGCTAAGGCGAAAGCCGCATCTTGAAAACGACCCGCTCTCAATCCGTGACACGCCTGGCATGTTTGTTAAACGAATGTGCGCGGCGCAGAGGCGAGAGCCACGTGTTGAAAACCACTCGCCCTCAATCCATGAAACTCGTGCACATGTTTAAAACGAATGTGCGCGGCGCTAGGGCGAGAGCCACATTTTGCAAACCACCCGCCCTCAATCCGTGAAACTCTTGCAACTGTTTGCAACGAGTATGCGCGGCACTAAGGCGAGAGCCACATGTTGAAAACCACCCGCCCTCAATCCGTGAAACTCTTGCCATTTTTAAGTTTCAGAGTCATACGTGGTGAGGAAAGCTCAGGCGAAACGCCCAGCCCGCCCTAAACACTGGCAGAAATGAACTATGTATACGGAAAACGAATGGAGAAGCAGGAGGAGAAGGAGGAGGAGGAGGAGGCGAAGGGAGGAGGAGGAGGAGAAGGAAAAGAAGGAGGAGCAGGAGGAGGAGGAGTTGGAGAGCGGAGGAGGAGGAGAGCGGAGGAGGAGAATGAGGAGGAGAAAGAGGAGGAGGAAGAAGAGGAGGAGGATGGCGGAGGAGAGGAAGGAGGAGGAGGAATGAGGATGAGGAAGGCGGACGCGGTGGAGGAGGAAGAGGACGAGGAGGGAAGAGGGAGGAGGATCTGGAGGAAGGAGGCGGAGGAGGGGAAGTCCGGGGCAGGACGGGGGGGTTGGGGGGAGGGCGCGTCTGCGGCGTGGCCGACGGCCTCCTCCCCGCGGGCCGTGTGAGGCGCTGACCACACAGCTGCTCGACGAGTGCGGCTCGCTGCCCCTGGAGCGGCCTCTGCCCGCGCCGCTGATGGCAGCGGCGGCCGACGACGCCAACGACGACGAGAACGACGACAAGCACGGCGGCAGGACGAGGAAGAGGACGAGGAATGTGACGGCGACGACGAAGTGGACGGCGACGGCGACACTAGCGTCAACGACGGCGACGACGCCGACGACGACGACACACGACGACGAACACGACGGCGACGACGACGACGACGACGATGACGTCGACGATGACGACGACGACGACGACGACGACGACGACGACGACCACGACGACGACGACGACGACGACGACGACGACGACGACGACGACGACGACGACGACGACGACGACGACGACTGCGACTGCGACTGCGGCCGCGGCGACGACGACGTCGGCAAGCGCTTGGCCCTGGAGCGGGGCGTCCTCCTAGCGTCGGGTGCCCTCCTCGGCGAGGGCCGACGGCGACGACGACGACGACTCCGCCGACGATGACGAAGAACGGTGACGACGTCGACGACGACGACGAAGACGACGACGCCAACGCCGACGCCGACGCCGACGCCGACGACGCCGACGACGCCGACGACGCCGACGACGACGACAAGGACGACGACGACGACGACGACGACGACGAAGACGACGACGACGACGACGACGACGACGACGGCGACGACGACGACGACAAGGACAACGACGACGCGACGACGACGACGACGACGATGACGCCAAACGACGACGCCGATCGACGACGAACGACGACGGACGACGAGGGCGACGATGGTCGTGCTGCGCAGAACGCCCCAACGCCCTCGCGCCCTGTTCCGCCCTGCGCCCCCATCCTCCACAGCGCCGCCGACGGGGCGGGGGGGCGACGCGGCTGACGCTCCCCCTGCACGCGCAGGACGTGAAGCCCGACGCTGTCGCGGCCATTGCCTCCAAGTTCCACGCGCGCCGCCTCGCTTCCGTGTTGGCCCGCTCGCCATGCCGCAACCGCGTGTACCTCCTCAACCGTCACCTCCCCCACACTCCTGCTCCTCCTCTTCCTCCTCCTCCTCCTCCTCCTCCTCCTCCTCCTCGTTTGTGCTTCCTCCTTCCATGCTCATTGCGCGCCCCCTCCTCCTCGTCCTCCGCATCATCATCATCCTCCCCCTCCTCCTCCTCCTCCTCCCAATATTTCTCCTCCTCCTCGTCCTCCTCCTCGTGTTCCTCCTCCTTCTCCTCCTCCTCCTGGTTCTCGTACTCCTCTTCCTCCTCCCCCTTCTCCTCCTCGGCTTCTCTCCTCTTCTCTCTTCCTCCTCCTCCTCCCCTCCACCTTCTCCTCCTCCACCACCTCCTCCTCCTCCTCCTTCCCCTCCTCCTCCCCCTCCTCCTCAACCTCCTCCTCCTCTTGAGGTTCCCAGGGCTTTCGGTTTTCATGCAAGATTCCTGTCAAAGCTCAGCCTCGTGTCTTGCCGGGGGGCCCAAAGGAATCACTTTGCCGACGCGCCGTGTTGGCGCGTGGCTTCTGCACAATATCGCCATTCCATTGCGGTCACGCCGGCATCGCCTCCTCCCGCCGCTTGTCGCCACCGACGCGTCGCCCCGCAGAAGCCCCGCGTCGCGTTTTCTGCGCTCAGCGTGGGCCTCCAGAGATCCGGCCCCCCTTGCCGGGGACCAGATTCGAGTTCCAGTCGGCGGCGAAATCCGAACCCTGCCTCGCCGATCCACGATTCAAGCAGCTCGATGGGCGGCGGGGGTGCGGGCTCGGAGTTCGTGGAGCACGTGGCGAAATCCAAGCCCTTTTCCCACATCCCCTCGATTCCCCTCGATTCCGGGGAATCGATGGTTGGCGGGGGCAGGATTCGGATGTCGCCACCTGCCCGTGTCGCCTTTTGATTCTGGGAGTACAAGTGCACAAACAGTCGGAGGTCCGCGCGGGTTTCTCGGATCGGCCTCGGAGCCCCCATGGCGGCGCCTCTGGCGCCGCCCGTGGCTCCGTGCCAATGCGCGCGGGTTCCTCGACTGACGGCGGCCCCGCCCCCGGGATGCTGGCGATTGCTCCAAACTTACCGTCGTAATCCTGGCATCGCTCCGACGTGTGCATTTTTCCTTCGGCGAGGGCCATCGAGGGCCATCCTTGATCATTCTACGAAAAAACCGTGCACGAAACAGAAAAAAACACAGGGACTGGACGTCCGAGCGATGGCGAGTATTTCTCCCACGCGACGGAGGACGCGGAGGCCCGACGATGCAATGTGTTCCACGCGCGGCCTCGGAGGCCCATTCTGCCCGCAACGAGGGGCAGCTGCCCGTCCCTAGGCCCACGCTGCATGGCCCCAGGGTCCCGAGCACGGGCCGCCGAGGCCGAGCTCGAGGGAGAGATCGGGCCAGGGCTCTGTCCGCTGTCTGACTTGGCATCGCTCGGGCGATGGCGAGCTGATGTGGTGCGTGTCCACGACTTGGTGGCACACCGCGGCCCAACCACAGAGTGCACATGTTTTGTTCGCTACCCGTCGCCCGCCCAGAGGGGCGGTCGGAGCATTGTACACCGCACGTTGCCCCGTGGCGATTCTGCGGAGTGCCATGGGACAGGGCCCACACATTGTGAAGGCCTTGTGGCCACTGCCGCCGAACCAGAAGGACAACGACGACCACCACGACGACGACAACGATAACGACGAGCTGATGACCTTGCCACAGGCTCGGGGAGTTGAAATAGGAGGAGAAGGAGGAGGAGGAGGAGGAGGGAAGATGAGGAGCAGGTGGTGGAAGAGGAGGAGGAGGAGGAGGAGGAGGAGGAGGAGGAGGAGGAGGAGGAGGAGGAGGGGATGAGGGCCGAGGAGGAGGAGGAGGAGGAGGAGGAGGAGGAGGAGGAGGAGGAGGAGGAGGAGGAGCGGGAGGAGGAGGAGGAGGACTCTGCTGGACTCTGCTGAGCGCCGCAAAGCGGCCGATCAATCACTGTCATCCTCCACCGCTGACGCTCCGCCACGCTGCTGCCCAGGGCCTCCGCTGCCGCAGCACGACTCTCGAGGCCACGCCGCCACCTCCCTCAAGGCAGCGGCGGCAGCAGGCGGGCCAGCGGCAGCAGCACGGGGCGCCTCGTCGTAGCGCATGGTGGCCGCCGTGTCGCTCGGGTGGCGTCTCGACGCCACTCTCAAGTATTCATCTAACAGATCATGATCAGAAACCCTCCCCTCAGCCTCCGAGCCACGAGCAGGTGAGGCTTCCACCAGGGGCCCGCAGGCGGGGAGGGAACATCGCACAGCGTCTTCTGTCTGGGCAGCCATCACAGACACGGGTGGGCCACGATAGCTCGGAAACAAACCTTTCTGAATTCTGCGCAAGTTCTCCCCTCCTTTGCGGGTGGGGGGGGAGCACGCAACAGACAAATGCCTGGCATCAGCAGTGGCCGTGCGACCACAAGTCATGCAGAAGAACAGACCATATGCTTTCATCTTGGCGAGCTGGTGGCTGGGGTGCAACAAAACTCCACCAACTCGCACTTCGCCTGAGGCCGCCTCGAAACCCTCACCATACTCCGCAGGCAGGCCAGTGTTTTCAGCCGCGTCCAGCTGCGGGGCGAGGGACAGACCAACACATTGGGTCGAGGCGACCTGGAAAAGCCTACTACGCGGGATAATATCCTTGCACAACTTACACCTCCAGCGCCCCGCAAAGGGGACAAAGACATGGGAGCTCCTGGCCAGGGCCGTCTCCAAACGGGTTGGCCTACGCTGCTGACGCTCGCGGGCAGGTCTCTCGCCAACCCAAGGTTCAACCTCGAGCGCCATCAGCAGAGCCCTCCGAGCTCTGAGCCTCACCAGTGCCGCCGTCGTGTCCCACAAGTCGGTCCGGGGAACAGGGGGCGACACACACCACTCCCAGGCCCATTGGGCCGCGGCTCCAGCCCAGGCGTCGGCACAGGCGTTGCCCAGGCTCAGGAACAAATCGAATTCAGTCTTGACCAACTGTAACTCGTCCTCCCTATGGGAGGGGGTCCACAAAACAGAAACCTCCCCAGGGCCGCGGGTCCTCAAAGCGGTGCCGATACGGACCCAGAGGTCCCCGTTAAGGCCCCGAGGAAGCTTGGCACGGCCGTTGTGCCAGTCAGCAGTCAAACTCTTACAGTCGGTCACGTAGCAGATCGGCCCCCTCGAGCTCTCAAGGGCGAGACAGAAAGCCTGCAGCTCAGCACGCGGAACAGTTTGCTTCCTACCCGAGAGAATCTGAGCAACCCCGCAAGCCGGGCTCCAGAAAGGCGAAGAGGCATCCTGACACATAACGACGATAGCCGAGCCGCATCGCCTCCGACGGGGATCCGAACTGTGCTCGCCTCCAGAACCGTCCCCAAAAATGTAAAGGGGGGGAGCTCCAGGGGCCACACAGTGATCAAGCAACGCCCCCTCCCCAAGAAGGACCTTTTGGGCCGCCTCAGAGCTCTCCACAAACTTGGGCACCACAAGGTCCTTCGGGGGCACTCCGCGAAGCCATAACGCGGGCTGCGCGTCCAGGCTCGCGAGGGCTTGGGGGACCAGAAAATCAGTCTTTGCAAAATCTTCGTGCCCGCAGTTAGCTGGGCACGTCCAAATACGGTGCGCTAAAGTCTCAGGCTTTTCTTTACAACGGGGGCACAGCAGCGGGCAGGCATAACCTGCGGCGATCTGCCTCTCACGAGTCCACTGGCCGCCGCTCACCACGGCGACATCCGCCGACCACTCGTCGAACTGCATCCGCTTGGCGAAGCGGTTCAGCTCGATGGTCACAGTCGTCAAGTCGGCGCCGTCCGCCAGATCGTCGCCAGCCGCATGCTGAGAAGCTGACTGCCACTGCTGCGCAACACAATCATCCATGAAGGCGCCCAGCATGTCATCAAAGTGGGCCAGCACCGCCGTGCCGAACTGCTCGTCACCGAAGGAGGGGAAAATCCAATCATCAATCGTGCCGTCTGCTAAGGGCCGAGACCACACCAAAGGCGACTGGGGATCCCAACCCACTTGCAGCAAGGTCGCTTGCAGTGCAGCAATCGGGCCACGAACATCCTTCCAACAGACGGCCTTGCCACGCTTGAGTCTCGCCAACACGATGGGCCATACCTTGCAGATCCGTGGATGAAGGCCAGGCTGTGACAACCACAAGGCCACCCATTCACGAAGCAGCTGGCGGCGTAAATCGACTCCAGGCTCCGAAGTGCCATAGATCGCCTGCAGCACGGTGGTCAGGCACCGTCCCCGCTTCGTTCCAGCCACTGCTGCAGCTGCATCGCGTCGCATGGCCAACAGCGTAGTAGGAGGGGTTCCCATCAGCTGATGACCAAAGACGGACGCAGGGTACACGCCCGTCGACCAGAGCTTCTTCGTCACAAAGCGAAGCTTAGCCAGGCGCCTGACCTTCATCACCTTACGTTGTCTACGTCTTGCCTGGGCGCGGCGCTTCATCATCCTGGCAGAGGCCCTCACCCTGGCTGCGGCAGCGTCGGAGCCCAAGTCCACCGTGGCACGCACGAACTCCACAGGGATGCCCTTGCGGCGCAGCCGCTTCTCCAGCTCCGCGCCAAGGTCGTCCGAGCTCGCCACCAGCTTCGTCTTGGTGGAGATCTGAAGACGGAGCTCACGAAGGCCGCCTGCCATGACATCGGCCGTCGCCTCGAGGTCACGGATGACCTTCTGCTTGGTGCCCTCTGCGCGGCCAACAATGTCGTCAATATAGCTCCACAGGCCAGCAGGAGGGACCTCACGATGGACGGTATCCAACAGCCGATGCAACATCACTTTAGCCAGAGGTACTCCGAGCCCAGACCCCGCGACGATCGACCTGGTGACCTCCACCGCCTCCGTGATCATCTGGCCCTTCTTCAAAAGGCGCGGAAAGGAGTAGAGGCCTATCTCCAGCAGCAAAATAATCGGCGGGAATCCAATCTGCAGGCCGGCCTGCATGAGCAATACAAAACTCACCGAGTCGTA